TATATATATACATACATACATACGGATGCATAACCAATCCCTCACGATCGATACCGTTCGAACACTCACTGAGTAGCGGGGCCGTCGCACATGATTTATGCTGCGACCGCAGCGAGGGGTAGGTCGAGCAGTCTCCAATCGAACGGATCCACAAAGTACAATCGGTCGTTCGATCTTCTGCATGCCGATCAAGGCAGAAGGTGTTGAGGAAATTAGAACATCCTGTCATCGAGCCAACATCATGGCATCGAACGAACGAACTAACATTCAAACACACCCCGAAAAATTATGGAATGGGCGGAGTGGAAGGGATCGCGCGCGCGCGCGCGNNCGCGCGCGAACACACACACACACACAAGCACGATCGACCGGTAGCTGAGGCTTCATGACATGTAACTGTTGGCTACCGTGTACATGCCTGTTGCGCACAATGAGTCGGGACACAAAGAGAAAAACTATCAATGAAGCGATCAATCAAGCACATGGACCTTCAAAACAAGGATCACAAGTACTTGCCGCAAAGAGTTTCTGAACCCGGGGGTGCAGGACCCGAGCCTGGCGTCTACATGTTGATACAGAGTTATAAAGTGCCGGAGTTGGAGAACAAAGTAGAAGCAACAGAGGGCTTCTGCCGGCAGTAATTACAGATGTTCCGAGGCTCTGACCGTGAGGATGTAGCAGGCCTCCTCGCTTGCTAGGCCGAACCTATGCGTCACCTGAACTAAATAGCAGCTTCTTCACGCTAACTGCCAATCGTACTGCAAGGCTTGGCCACTGACCTTTGTGGTTGTTTGCATCGCAATTTGCTCGGAAGAGAGGTTCTGGTACTCTTTCCTCGCCTCCAAAAGTCTTTCTGGTAGGGTCTTGGGACTTTATAGTCACAATAATGATGATTATAAACAAAAACTAATCATACTCATAATAATCACCGTAATACTATATCAAAATAGCAAGAATCATCATACTAATAATCCTAGTGATCTGAATCATAACAAAAATAGTCATAGTGACAACAACTTCCGATTCAAGGACAGGCCTTGTCAGACTCAGCCTTGAGTCGGGCAACCTGCGGGCGCCGGACAAGCAAAAGACGGCACTTTGGAAGCCTTGAAACGAAGAAAGGGCGACAGTCGGGTTTATGGTTTAGGGGTTTAGGGGTTTAGGACTTTAGGGGTTTAGGGGTTTAGGGCTTTAGGGGTTTAGGGGTTTAGAGCTTAAGGGGTTTAGGGCTTAGGGTCACAATCCCTGCAAACCATGGGCAAGGAAGCCCCGTGCCCTAGCCTACCTGGTGTATGATACTTCCCGTACGATGAATGCTTTGAAGAAACCCCAAATGCAAAAGTGCCATTCAGTGGTTCCCCAAACCGAACAATGGGCCAAAATGTGCATGATGTTGCTAATCTTGGTGTCAAGAATCACTAAAATGCCTATGTGTTGGCTCCAGATCTGGCAGCCTCTGTTGGGCAGCTTGGGAAACCCAAAACGGTCCAAATTCACTAGGTTCCTCAAACCCGCCAGATTTGCCCTTTTCAACTTGTGGTTTCGTTTATCTTTGGTGCCTGCAAATGCTCGGTGTGGTCAAAATCACTAAAGCTTTGTTTGCCATTTGGCACACACGAGGTCCGCCGCGGACGCAATGGCTCCCTGCGCGCAGACTACTCAGACTACCCCGGAGTTAGCCCTAAACCACCTCTACCTTAGCCCCGCCCCCTACCCCAAGCCCACCCGCAGACCTACTGCCGAAGCCTAGCCATCTAGGCAGACCCTAGCCTAGGGTCGGGGCGTCGGTATAAGATCACGAGAAAAATCGACGCGGCCTCTTGCTCCAAGACCTCTGTCAAGAGTGAATCAAGTGGGCAAGCTGGAACGGAGAAGATCCCAACTTGCCTGAAAACGGCGAGACCTTTCGTGTCGCAGTTCGGCTTGTTCCGACTCCTCAGTGAGTACATGTCTCCGACTATGGATCCTGCCATCACGGTGCTGCAGATCTGCGTAAAACGTCAGGGAGCCGGACAGCTGATTTCGAGCCCTTCACCTGGCTTTTCCCAAGCTTCTGCACTGACCAATATACCCTTACGACCCTTACGCCACTCAGAGGGTCCCCGGAGTTCGGAGCTCCAAACTAATCGAGCTCCTCGCCATTCTTGAAACCAAGGAGGTGCCGGCTTCCTCCTTCTCCTGAGACGTGCACACTCTGGGAGTTTCTGAAAATTAGGGTACCTTATTTTCGGGGTCCTTATAATAAGGATCCTATTATTTAGCGTACTATATTAGGGTCCCCTATTTTCGGAAACCCCCCTCGAGACACTGGCAGTCACTGAAAAAGTTGCGTGCGCCTCTTGCTGTGCCATTTGCGTGCCCGTTGGATCGCGAGCTGCGCTGCTCGGCGTGAAGGCTAAGACTTTGCCACCAAATGTAGCCAGGACCTGACATTAGTTCAATGCTGCGCTTCGAAGCTCTGACAAGATCTTCTGCAAGGCAGGCACCACTTCCACATAATCGCCACCAGTGATGTGACCCGAGCCTGGTGACTTCAGTGATCCATCAGCGCAAGTGACTGCAACATTCCCCAGCTGCAATCTGCCGGCAGAGAGCACCGAGCCAGGAGCTCAAGGATTGGATACTTTCTTGCAAGCAGGTCTCCCACAGAGGTGTCGGAGCCTCCCACTTAAAAGTAGCACCCTTGGGCGCATGCTGCAAAAATCGTTGCATGGAGTTTCAAATTCAAGCTGCGCCTGCTCTAAGCGCTGCGAGGCGAATGCCTCAAACTACGGCCACGCAGTCGACGGCCACGAAATGCCAAAGGGAGAAAAAATGTCGGGCGCCCTGCAGCAGCATCGCCCAGGCCCCAAAGCTCCACGTTGCCGTCGTCACGGCCGACGACAAGGTCTAGCGCACCACTCCTTGAGCTGGAGCCCTCTCACTCTCAGCCCCCGCGGGCTAAACAGGGCTAAAGTACAGCAAAGCAACGACACAAACAACTCCGCGCTCTTCTTCAGCCCTCGCTCTTGGCGCCAGGCTTGACAATATCCGCGGTGTGCAAACTGCAAACTCGTGCCCGTCTACTTCCGGCACCTGTGTTTGGACGCAGCGCCAACAACCAGCATTCCATGTCTCGCACATCGAACACCTTTTCAAAGCGCTGCTTTCGAACTGATGAACCCAGGTTGGCCCGCTGGCCTAGCAGCTCGGGCAAGCTATATACAAGTTGAAATGCACTCCTGGCAATTCTGGCAACGACTGCTTGCATCGAGTGCAAGTTGTCAACATTGCTGCAACATGCTTTGACACTGGCGCCTTGGCCAGTCAAAATGCAAAAGCTTCCGGTAAAGTCGGTGCATGACAAACACCAGCGACACCGCAGCTTGAGATGCAACATCTGACGACACAGGACACTTGTGAGTGTTTGCAATCACCAAGAAAAACAAGGCAGCAAAGGGCATTCAGGTTCACGCGACGCATCACTGCAGCTGTATCCCTTCTTCGTCCATTGTCCTGACAGAACTCAAAAGTCGGACATCAGCGAGAGGAACAACAAGCGCTACAGTTAACAGCAAGAATCACCACTACCACACCACCACCACCACCACCACCACCACCACCACCACCACCGCAACCCACCACCCACCACCCACCACCTACCACCCACCCACCACCCACCACCCACCACCCACCACCCACCACCCACCACCCACCACCCACCACCCACCCACCACCCACCACCCACCACCCACCCCCCCGCCCCCACCCACCACCCAACACACCCACCACCCACCACCCACCACACCACCCACCACCAACCACCCACCACACCCCCAGCACCAGCACCAGCACACCAGCACCA